TGTTGTGTCTACCCATTTGGAAAGACGTGATGTCTTAGAGTGAAGTTTACCTATATTACTTTGATCTGCATATTTGTTTGTCATTTTTACTTAAATAAGTAACAAATATTTAAAATAATTAAATAAAAAAATAAATAAAATAAAAGTCACAAATATAAATACGTTTAACAACTACTCATAATAAAAATTTATATCATGCCATTAGTGTTGTTGATATTTCTTCAGAAATCAAACTTTTTGATTTAAGATGACGAAGGAATGAATATAAGTCTTTAATCCTTTTAATTAGACGACGCTTGGATTGCTGAAGCATTTTAATTTTCTTTTGTTTGGCAGCAAGTTTACTTATAGATAATTTTAAAAACTTTTTACTATTTTCTGGTATTAACATATCATTTTCATTAAAATCACCAATATACCGTTTACCATTATTTTTAGGATTGATTTGACAATTTGCAAGATTATTGTTCCTAAAAATGTAAAGGTGTTTAATGTCACAAAAAGTAAACTCAAACCCTTAAATCAATATATGCCATTGTAAAATTAATTGTAAAGTATGCTATTGTAAAGTAATTACATTCGACTTACTGTATTGAATCATTGGTGATATTATTATTAACATTAATAATATAATTGTCAATGTTATTTTTCCTTAAAATATATAGGTATTATGTTACAAAAAGTAAACTTAATAATTTTAAATCAATATATGCCATTGCAAAAGGATTAGTTACATTAGACTTACTGTATTGAATCATTGGTGATATTATTTGAAATAATACTTTGTCTGTTTTTTGGTGGGTTTCTAGAATGAGTACTCTTTTTTAAAGGTGTTGGAAAATTAAATATAGAAGAATTGCATCACTTTTTAGTTTCTTTTGTGAACTCCAAGGACTTTTTTCATAACATTCAATTGTGAAACGTTTACCACAAAGTTTAGACTGTTTACTAAGAGTAAAACCATCCCTCCGCATAACTTGTATCCATTTTCTTCTCAATTCTAGATCTTTTGGAAAACTACCAACAAAAAAAAATATCAAATAGGTATATTAAACTAATATACTATTAAAATTCAAAATATAATGTAGGATCTTAACAAAGAATGATTTTAGCTACGTACCCATGAAAAGAAACCCCTTTAGTATATCTTTGAGTGCAATTATATGCAGAACAAGAAAAAACCCTGATCTCTATACACCAATATTCTATTTGAAAACTCAAATTTAAACAAAGTAATACACTTAAGAAATATTAAAACTTTAAAAGTGTTAAATACATCAAGTTATTTTCGCCTTAAACCCATTTTACAAATTGTTAAATGCCCAATCGTGATGTCACGCGCTAAAAGATTTTGGTTTCAAAAGTTTGTAAATGTTAACAATGGTAAGGCATGTTTATCAGTTTATATGGTCGAAGATAAAGAGCAGTAGGGGATGCTGTTCATTGTTTAAAATAAAAATTTAATGGTTTGTTTGTTGTTGGTTGTTTTTATTTTTCTAATTATATTTCTAATTTTCATAGCCTGTTTTCATTTTTTAGAAGAAGTTAGAACTAAAATGACTGGCTAAATAGTCTTTTTTGAGAAAACTGTTTCAGTTTTGTCGTTAGTCTTTTAAATTTAAAGCTTAGTGTTATAGATAATATTGAAAGATAGATTACTATAATTCTTAGATGGTGTCTAGCGTTAAAAGATATTTATGGCTAGTTTCATGCTTTCACATGCTTTTAATAATTGGGATAAAAGCCATGACAACATTTTGATATAAATAATGTTTATCTTAGTGTAATTGTTGTTGAAAACTTTTTTATAAATAAAATTTATAACAACATTTAAATTTTATATAAATTTAGAATTTAAAATTTGTCTATAGTATTGTTAATACCTTTGCTCTTTAAAAAAATGTTTCTGGGTTTTTAATAAATGTATAATAATTTCTCTTGCATGAATGAATTTTAGTTAAGGATATAATTATGTTAGTACATGTTTGTTTTTCTATATTTAATATATTATTAATCATTTTCATACATTTTTATTTTAGTTTAATTGTTTACAATTTATTAAGATTTAGATTATTAGAAAAATCATGTTAACAGAGTTGTTATTAATATATATATATATATATATATATATATATATATATATATATATATATATATATATATATATATATATATATATATATATATATATCCTAAGAGTCGCGGCATTGTCATCGTTTGTGTGTTCGAGGGGGGAGAATTTACAATCCCGCGTTAATAACCTGTTTTGATTTGTACATAACACATTGATAAGATTTATTATGCGTTTTGTTCAATGTTATCTCCCAACACATGAACTAAGACGCTGACCGCGACTCCAAAGATATACATGTGTATGTGTTTGCTATAAGGCGTGTTGAAAATAATCGTTGACGAAATGAAAGAAATAGACTTAGTCAGATAAAATTATTCATTTGCAAAATGAAAGAAATAGGCTAATTCGAGGCGAAGTTAATCGTCGCCAAAATGTAAGAAGATCTGTTAGACAAGGACGAATGTATGCTATAGCATGAAGTAATGCTATTACGGATTCTAATTATTTAGGAAAAATGAAAATTTGTAATTTGTAAAAAGTTTGTAAAAAATTTGTAAAGAATTTGTAATAATTTGTAAAGAATTTGTAAAAAATTTGTTAAGAAAAGAAATTTGTCAGTACTGTGAGGCTAAAAAATTTCTAGATGAAACACATTTTCTGATATAATGGTAAAGTAGCATTGCCTCCACTTTCACCATTAACACAAGCTTTACAGGATTTATTTACAGGGAGTTATGTTGATCGTAATGCTAATGTCAATTTTTTAAAACATATTCGAAATTATAATGCCTGTCTTTATTTTGCTTCATTTACAGCAAATATAGTTCAACCAATAAATCATGGGCCTCCATATTTTAAAGTATGTGGCCAGATTTTCCATTGTGTAGGTAATCTTAGGCCAGATCAAGAAATTCCACCGATATATTCTCAACTATATATTTATGATCCACTTGCAGCAGTAAATTTTAGAATGCAAAAACGTGAAAATGATCTTTGTTTACGTGATTTAATGTTTCAATTGCAAACTATAATTACTGTACAAAGTCCATTTGCTCTTGCATTTAAAAACATGGCTGGAATAGAAGATAAAGAAATTCGTCAAGCGTCTCTAGAAGGTCGCTCAGCTTCTGTTGTAAAAATGTCTTTAGTTGAAGGAGGTGATAGACGTCGCTATAATCTACCTTCACATGATTAAGTTGCTGTTGTGTTTGTTAGTGAAGATGGTGCTTCCCCAACCTCCAGATATTTACCCAAGAAGTCATCCTTCAAAAATTGTATCAAGTATGTCAGCAAACTTGGATCCTATGGTTTATCCTCTATTTTTCCCAAAAGGTTATGCTGGTTAGCATAATCAGGTGGTGCATAACCTGAGCGTGCCACACTGGTTAGAAATCATGTTACATTATCTCAGTTCTACAATTATAGACTTTCTGTTAGGCAATTTTTCTGTTCATTATTTTATGGAAAGAAACTATTTCAGCAGTATGCTGTTGATGCATATGTCAAAATTGAAGGCCAGCTTCTTGCTTTTATCAGAAATAATCAAAACAAACTTAGAAGCGAGCAGTATGATCCCTTACATGAACATGTAAACAACATTGCGAACGATCGCATTAGACCAGAGCGAGAAGTGGTTTTGACATCATCTTATGAAGGGAGTCCTAGAGCTTTAAAAGAAAACTTCGAAGATGATATGGCAATTATTAAAAAATATGGTAAACCAGATCTTTTTATTACTTTTACTTGCAGCTCGAAATGGCGTGAAATAATAAAAAATTTATATTCGGGTCATACTGCGAATGATAGACCTGATTTGGTTACTAGAGTATTTAAACTCAAGTTAAATAACCTCCTCAATGATATATTCAAACATGGTGTATTGGGCAAAGTTGTAATGCATGTTCAGGTTATTGAGTTTCAAAAGCGTGGTTTGCCGCATGCCCACATTTTACTTCATTTAGCCAATGATAATAAACTTGAAACAGCACAGGATATCAATAATTTAATATGTGCAGAAATTCCAGATTCGATTGTTAATCGTGAACTTTATGATATGATTAAAACTTGCATGATTCATTGCCCATGTGGGATACTGAATCCTAATTATTCCTGCATGAAAGATGGGGTTTGCAGCAAAAATTATCCTTAAGAATTTAGTGCCAACACAGTAGCCGTTCACAATGGTTATCCACGATATAGGTGTCGTGATGATGGGTTGGTTATCAATATTAAAGGCAACAATGTAGATAACCGTTGAGTGGTACCTTACAATCCTTGGTTACATAAAAAATATCAAGCCCACATTAATGTTGAAGCTTGCATGTCTGTAAAGGCTGTTAAATATTTGTACAAGTAAATATACAAAGAGCATGATTGTGCCAATGTTTTGATAAATGAACAGGCTAATCACGATGAAGTAAACACTTTTTTAGATTGTCGTTATGTTGGTGCGCCTGAAGCATTTTGGCAAATATTTGAGTATCCCATAAGTCCTATGTCACACACTATTATCCGTCTTAAAGTTCATCTACCTGAGAATCAGATTGTGTATTTCAGAGAAAGAGAAGAACAAGTGGTTTTAGAACGTGCTGCTCAACGTGATACACACCTTACGGCATGGTTTAAATTAAGTTCTAAAAATGAAGAAGCGCATCACTATTCATATGTAGATATTCCTAATCACTTTGTATTTGATGATAAACATTGTAATTGGAAGGTTAGGCAAAGAAGTGGAAATAAGGTGATAGTAAAAATGTACAAAGTTAGTCCGACAGGAGAGTTATTTTTCTTAGATTTCCTTAGATTTTTCTGTTACTTTTGCTACAAGATGACACAATGGCAGAATACTCTTTCTGAGGCAGTTTTAACGCGAATGCCTAGGCAAATTAGACAGCTATTTTCAATTATTTTAACCTTTTGTGAACCTGACGGCCCTTCGCATCTTTAGAATACATACAAAGCTTTTATGATGGAGGGTTTCAATCATTGCCAAGTTCCATTTATATTAGCAAACAAGCTACTCTTCGTCAAATCGAAAAGATTATTATTCAAAGTGGTAAAACGCTATCTGATTATAATTTATCTGTTGTTGATGAATTCATGATCATTCAATTTCAATCTTATTCCTATAAAAGAACTCCATGACTTCCAGCTATTAAACGAACAGCTCAAAACAGACTACAACATTTCTAAAGCTCTGGTTAGAGAACAGTTTAAATTTAAATTACATTATATAATTTAAGCAAATTTTATGATAGAAGTGCCGTTTGTGTATTTTTGAAATAATTGTGAACTTTATTACCAAAATAGATCTAGTTAAACAATTTGTACAATTAAATGCTTTTAATAAATATTACTATACAATGCAATCAAACAATTTTGTTTAATTAATCAGAAAGAACTAATATGAAATAAATTTTTATTTATAAATTTGCGTAAATGTTAAAATGCAAAGTAACTTTTAATATAGGTTTCTCATTTGAGCAGTCTTGGAGGACGGAAAGTTTTTGAAGCTGTTTTGAAGCAAGGATGATGAAAGCAGTGATGCCAGATTACATAGCTCTCCAATTTAATTATAGTGGAACAAACAATAAAAAAGGAATAAAGGGAACTGAATTTTTCAATATATTGTGCAGTACGTATAAAATTGTATTTTGTATTTGTTGTTATTTATTATTGTAACAATACTTTGTATAGCTCAAGATAAAGAGCTATAAAAAATATATATTCATCTGATATACATCTCTAATTTTCATAATTAAGAACTTATTTGAGCCCAAACAATTTTTTAATTATGAAAATTAAAGGTGAAAATATATTTGCATCATAGTAGTACTGTAATCTTATAAGATAAGTCTACATTTAATTAATGATGCTATTTCAAGTGTTATGTGTTGTGTTAATTTTTTTTATTTAATAATAAATAAAAATATTGCATCACTATAAAGTCTATGACCTAGATTTTTTCTCTTTTTTAAATTTATATCAAGGAAATAGTGAGTGTTTTAGTAAATATAACTTTTTTTAGGTGCTGTCCAGCAAAATGTGCTCACTTCGAGTGCAACTGCGAAAGATATCGAGATAGCTATAGGCAAATAGTTTACTGGGGCGCGAGATCGGGGTGGCAAACGAGCGGAAAGAGCCAAAAGAACAAAGGAAACGAGGCTACGTCAAAAGGGAGAAACAACCTGAAAGCAGGAAGTGATTATAATATAAATTCATGCATCAATGCAAATTTGTTGCCTGCTATGTACATTTTTTTGCTATCTTATTACTTGATGTACATATCTCTTTTTTTTGAATATTTCTATAACTGGTGTTTCTTGTTAAGTTTGAGAACATTTTTATTTACATTATATACTTGATTTAATTTATTGTTTTTGTTATAAACAAATTCTTTTAATAATGCAACATTTGTGATATTTAGATCAACGGTATATACATTTTTGCAGTTTTTTGTTTTACTAAACTCGAATATTTTATGCATTTTTAGAACGATTATTGCTTAACTTGTATAATATGCATTTTCCAATTTTGTTCGAGGTGTTTATAATGCTGTATTTTACTTAGTGTTCATAATAATTATATTGGCTGTAATAATTATATATAAATTAATATTTATAATAATAATTATAATTATTTTAACATGCAAAATGCAAAGGTTCTTTAAAATATGCTAAAGATACGACCTGCACAATTGATAACTTATTTTTGTGTTTCGGTGTTGCAGTATGTTTTTCGGGCGCCTAAAAAGTAATCCGACCTGTGAAAATTGTATACCAATTTCACTAGATTAGGCTATAGCCTAATTTACACTACGCATTTACACTAGATTAGGCTATATATAGCCCAATCTAGTGTAAATGCGTAGCAGCGTATTTTTTCCGTTGGTTTCTAATAGTTTTCATATAATTTGAATACATTCTGTTTAATTAATCTAAATCACATTGCAAAAAATAATTTCTGGTAAAATTATAGATTAATTTTAATCAATCTTAGAAAATCTGAAACTTAAGTAACACTTAAGTTGTTGTTTTTTTCACTGCTTTAAAACAATTATAAATCAAACCTAGGATTCTGTCGCTGGGCGTGAATTGGGGCCCAAGTGAGCAGCCCATATGGGCTGCCCACTAGGGGCCCCAATTCACGCCTAGCGACAATTTTCCTTGGGCGGGATATGGGCAACCCATATGGGACCCATATAGCTGCCCACTTGAGCCCCAAATGGGGCCCAATTGGACATGCTGGCTGGGACATTGTGATTATTGATATTGACGGCCATTTTCTTTACGAGCTGAAATTGTTTCCTTTAGTTTTTAAATTCTTTTTTAACAATAAATTTAAAATGAAACGATCTGCAAAAAACTCTGTAAACTACGAAAGGTGGGTTATAGTTTTAACGTCTTTATGAATTTATATTTATATTTAATTTTAAACTCATAAATAATTTGTTAAATGAATTACTTATCATAACACAGTTATAACCAATGAGTTGTATCCATTATTATAAATAAAGTTCATAGATATTCTACTTTAAATTCTATTTGTTTATTATTTATAAGTATTTTTCTAAACAACATGAATTATAAATATGAATTATAGAAATATGCAAATATATAAATATGAAATATAAAAATGCTAATTGAATTTGTTAAATTATTATTCTGATCCTTGTCGACAATCACGAAAGCTATGACACAATAGAAATGGTACAATATGCTCGTGGTAATGGCATTATTTATTTGTTGTTTACTCTTCACACAATTCAACGTCTCCAACCTTTAGATGTGGGAGTAATTGGATCTTTTAAGGTAAAGTTAAAGGTAGCTTTTGATGATCGGCATGTGAGTAACTAAGGAAAAAGTTTTAAAACTGATTAAAACTACCTTTTTTATAATTGCAAATACAATTCAAATGCTTTTAAAAAGACTGTAATATTTAGCTATTAGTTATGAATATTTAACAAATTGAATTTCAGTGACCAATAATTTTCAATATTGTTGAAAGTTTATTATTCCAGTTCTAAAGCAATTACAGATTACAATATACATCAAGTCAAACCTGAAGTAATGGCTATAACTTATCAAGGACTGTCAGAGAGCTACCTGTATCACCATCTGCAGATTAATAACTCCAGAATTTAATCGACTTTATACTAAGGTGGGCAGGACCCAGAATGCACCCAGAAGCACAAAGAAAGGAAAACTGCCAGAAATGAGAAGAAAATATACAGATGTTCCCGAAACAAACAGACTGATAGAAATAGAAAGATCAACAGAGAAAAAGTGCAAAGATTATGTGGTTTCCCAAAGAAAATAACTTAGAACTCGGAAAACCAATATATGGCTGGAGAATCTTGTATGAGAGTGTTGTCTAGCCTCCGGTAAGACAATTTTCTTTTATCAGTTGCACAATATGGTGCATCTGAAAACACCTTCGAGACACCACGAAAGGTAATAAACTATAGCTGTTATATTTTTTATTGTAATACTATAACTTATAATTATATGCTTCACCACTTAAAACTGCATGGTGTATTATTATGTCAAACAGTTTACTATGTTAATATTTTATCGGATTTCAACAGTTCCTTTTGATTCTGATGAGGTTTCTCACTTAAGGACTTTTTTTAGTACATCTACTTTGAACTTTTTCCATATGTAAAAACAATGATATTTTTAAAGAGCAGCTGAAAAATTATATTCTTCAGTATTCTCAAGTTGGTCTTCCTTCAGACAGTTGGCACTTTTTTTAAATTTTCAAAACTGCTTGGAACCTTGGGTAAGAATTACTTTAATTACCCTAATTACTTTATTTACAATATTTGTTAGGTGTGTTTATAATGTACGCATGTAGTGCTTTTGTTGTTGTTGTATTTATAGATATTAAATGATAAATTTTCCTAGAATTCACTTTTAAACCAGTCGAACATAAAATGGATCTGCAAGTAGATAGTTTTAACAGGTTTATATTATAGATTCATTATCTAAAGCTAAATTAGTGCTTTCAGAAGACCAGCTTCTTCTGGTCTTCTGAAAACACTAACTAAAAGTTGAGATTATGTTTTTAGTTTATTTATTATACTAATTTAATTTGGACAGCAATACGATAAGCACTACTTAAAATATTTACCTTAATTATATAATTAATTTTTTTTTTCACTTTATACTTTTTATGTTGTTGAAAATACTTTATAAAATTGTATAATATAAAAAATACCAACACACTATAGCATGTTATTTTATACAACTTTATGATATAAAATACTTTGCTGCTCAAGTGATTATGTGCATTTTATTGATTATTTTAGATTTTACAGTATTTTTGATTTTATATTTTTTAGAATGAGCTATTAAAATCAAAGCCTTTTATCAATGTTTTTGCAATTTTAAATAAAAATATTTTTCAACAAAAAATAAATGAAAAACACCACTTTGATTGTCATTGTCTCCATGTTTAATAACTGCTGAGTTTAGCACCTTTTCCCACAATTTAGTTTTAAAGAAGAAGGGTGTACATTTTTTGTTAATAAAACATTTGCAGGATATTTAAATTAATTTAAAAGTTTGCTTGATTTACAATGTAAAATAGGTTATAATAAAGTAAAGGATTTCTTGTTTAAGAAATCTAAAGTAAGTAACATTAAATATTGATTTTTTTTACGATTTTATTTAATAAAATTCTGAAAATGTCTATATTCGTTTTGTATTAAATAATCTTTTTAATGAAGAATTCATTTATTTTTTACAAATTACAAATATTTATACAAGAATTACATTTCAGTATAAACTTAGTATAAAAAGGATAAAGCACTTATACAATACGTTAATTATATTTAACGTATTGTATAAGTGCTTTATTTAATCTTTATTTAATTGTTTAGAATAGAAATGATTTAATCCGATGCAACAAAATCTTTTAATATATTTGAAATTATTAAAAATTATAAAATTATTCACATAACATGTCCCCTTTTTCAAGTTAGCGATTCATTTGTAAAATACCTGAGTTAAAATAAATTTCTAAAAATAATATATTCAAAATTTGAATTTTTTTTTTTAAGTCTGAAGATATGCTCGATGAGTTGAAGATACCTACAAAGTACGGTCTTCAAGTTCTGTATAACTTAATACAATATGGCGTTCAGAGTAGATCAGGGTAAGAAAGTAATATTCAATATTTTTTGGATCTGTTCAGTTTTTTTTAATAACTTCATTTAATGAATTTCCGAAAATGTCGACTTTCTTTTTGCATTAAATATTCTACTTAATGTATAATTTATTATTCGTTTTTTTTAAAAATATTTATACAAAATATTTATACATTTAGACAAATTTGTACAAGATTTTTGTACAAATTTCAGTATAAACTTAGTATTAAAACATTGAAAGCATTTACAAAATACATTATTTTTAATGCAAAAATAGATTCAAAGCTGAAAAGAATAAAATTCATGACATGGTAGCAGAAATGATTAAAATCAAGTTTGTTTAGTTCTATTTTTTATAGAATAGTTATGACTTTAATGTGGTACTGATTATATAAAAAAAGTTGATTTGTATTTTTGATGATGTGATTCTGATTATCTGCTCGATGAATTAAAGGTACCTGCAAAGTTTGGTCCGCAAGTTTTGTATAACTTAACACAATATGGCATTCACAGTAGATCAAGGTGTGAAATGATCAACATAGAGTTACGGACGATTAAAGAGGTTTTATGCGTTATTATTTGCATATACTATTTGTTAGATCCATCTTCTTTTACACAACTAATGGGTTTTTTTCAAGAGATGTTACTAAACGAATACTTTGAAAAAAAATCATAAAAGACTTGCTCTTATATTGCTCATGTAAACAGTTAACTAAAATTTTTGATGTCTTTAAATAACGCTAGTTGTTTACTTTAATAATTTATTAAAATGTTTCATTTTATATTTAAATTGTTACTTAAAAACAAGTCTGTATATAAAGCTTTCATTGAAATAATTGATTTTGTAAAGTTTTGAAAATGTATTTATTGACAAATGTTTAAAAATTTAAAACCGGCGGTGTTCTAATTACAATTATGTTAAAGTGAATTTATTTTGTTATTGTATAATATTTTTTAATATATATATTTTATGCCTTACTAGTCAACATCAAACTAAAACATCAAACTATTGCTATTAATAATTTACGCTTTTATTGTTATATATAATTTACGCATATAAATGGTTAGTTTAGATTTTATTTGAATTAAACAAAACGTGTTTAAAAAGTTTAACGGCAAATTATGCCGTTAGCTTAATTTTCGAATATAACGCGATCTAAATCCATTTTAAATCAACAAATGCCCGCAGGGAACTGGAATACTATTAATTGGTAATGCACTTGGCGTTGTAGACGCCAATTGCAATTAGGTTTTCTGTATTTCATTTATAACCTTCATAAGTCTTTAAAATATCCTGAAATATCTTTAAAATCTCTGAATTACCTGAATCCCTCTATTATCATTATCATAAATTAAATAAAACTATTCTGAATGTTTCTATAACTATAAATAGTATGTTTTTTTTGTAATTTTATAAATGTTTATAATATAAGTAAAGTTTAGCTTTTTATAGGTTACGTAATAAAACATATGCCGTTTTATAGGCGATTTAATTAAATTACCAGGATGATTAAATATATGAAAGCTGACGATGATCTTATGTTATATATAAGTGGGGAAGAGCAGCTAAGATTCCTACACTTCATACTTTAAATCACACAAAAGCAAAACTAGTTACTATTTTAAAATAATTTCAATGCTTCTGTATAACCTAAATGTCTAGCTTTAATAATATTGAACTTTGGTTTTGATAAAAACAAACATGGTAAAACTATGATGACTCGCAAAAAATAGAGATTGTACGAATACACCCCACGCGCGGGGTAAGATCCTACATTAATGTATAAAGTTATATAACAGCAAAAATAACAGCAAAATACTGTTATATAAATATAAATAACAGCAAAATGCTGTTATATCGCTCTCTAATGGCGTTATATATGGCGTCAAATGATATTTAAATCAATCAGAAAGTTTAGGAACCAATTCTAAACGAATTCTGAAAATTTAGTAAACGTTTAAACGCTTAATTAAGACACCTTATCGAGCATTATAACATTTAATCGACATTTAATTAATGTTTAACATAAATTTTGAAATTTACTTTAAATGAATTGAATTCGACTTCATTAAAATAAAGGCAATCGGATTTTCTTTTTGCTAGAAGACAAATTAAATAAAAGCTAGTAATGTATTTTTTTAAATAAGAAAGTGTTAAAAATGCCTTATGAAATAAGCGACAAAACAACACAGTTAGTAGACATTTACAATAACTATTTGCAATAAAAAATTTTTACTTTTAAATAAATATTTTGATTACGTGGTGTTTCTAGAAAACACATTTTAATTAAACAATGTTTTAATAAGTAACGTTTTTATTGCAACCTTATATTGGTATACCAGTATTAAAGTGTTGTGATAAAAGTTGTGATTAGTCTTATTCTTATGACATTTATAAATTTTTGCATGCTTTCTCAAAGGTTATTTGGAAAAATGTCAACTTTTTTGGTTTTCTTTTTTTTTTTATTATTGATTTTTGACATCAATAAAATAATTATTTTTTAAATGAAATACCCAGCTAACACAAAACGTTCAATAACGTTCTATGAACGTTTTTAGAACGTACTCAAAGGTTCACAATATTTTTCGAACGTTCTTGAACGTCTTGTGTAGCTGGGTATCTACCTATAAGAACCTAGAAAAGAATAAACCTAAGGTATTTATAATTTTTATACTTTTAAATTTTCTTTTTGTTTATCAAGTGTTTGGTTTATTATTTTATTTTTGATTTTATAATCTAGGAATATTGTAACATAACATTGTAACATCAAAAGTATTGCACAAAGTTGAAAAATTAGTTCATTTTTGTTTTATACTATTAAGATTAAGATTGCAAAGTTTTAAATTTAGTAAAATTTCATGTAGGCGGTTACTTTTAAATTAAATTTTTAAATAAGATTTTGTATAAATCATCTAAACAAGCAAAAAGCAACCAGTAATACGGGTTTTAGTCGGTCTGTTACATAATTAATTTTTAGTGGCTGTTTTCCACAATTTAATGTGGAAAACAGCCACTAAAACCTTAACTGATACCCTTTTAGAAAAACGCCTTTAGATTGAAAAGATTAAACCATCTGTAAAATTAACATAAAAAGTATTAGGAGGTTAAATAATTTACCAACTACTACTTAACATTTACAATTACTACTTAACATTATTTGAGTAATATACAACTGACATAGGTCATAACAGTGTGAGGCAGAACAATTTTCATCGACCTTCCTAAATTCAACACAATACGTTTTTAGATACTGACACAGTATAAAAACACTTCATCATGCTTTAAAATGACGAAAGAATCAACTAAATCCTTTTAATAATTTTTATAACATGAACGATTAAGATTAAAATGAAGTTAAATTATATTATACAGGAATTATCAATTTTTTGGTAACCCCTTGATTAATTGTTCTTTAGAAAAGAAAATTGTTAACTTAAAAATGTTAAATGTACACAACTAATTAAATTTATTAAAAATAACTAAGTTTATTTTAAATAACTAACCAACTAAGTACAAATACGTTTCAAACAAAAAAAATTAATTTACAATCAAACATGGATATAACAAATTTGAAAAAATATGTAAACTTAATGCATTAATGCATCACATGACAAACCTCAAATAAAAATTATAACAGATAAGTAGACATAAAATTTTGTAAACCAAGCCGACCCGACACGGGTCTTGTTAAGTCTGTTTAACACAGATCCCCAGAAGGCACACCAACGTTGTTACAACGTTAAATAACGTTGTTTTTTTGGTTGGATTAACGTTGGAAATGGAAAGGATGGACGACGTCAGATTTTCCAACGTTAGCTAACGTTGCAATTTTAAAAAAAAAAAACATATTTCAATGTTGCTCGATGTTATTCCAACATTAACTATTGTTGTATTAACATCGAGCAATGTCGGTATAACATCATTCTAAAGTTGGTTTTTAGGTTGGTTTAGCGTTGGATTAAGGTTGGAAATAAAAAGTTTTGCTAACGTTAGCTAAGGTTGTAATTTAGATGCAAAGAAAGGTTATAAATTCGCTTGATGTTTTTCCAACATTCCATTGATTTTCCATTGATTTAGTTAGATTAACATTGAAAAACATTAAACTAACAACATTTAAACGTTGCTTAGATTATTCTAACGTGAATTAAACGTTTGAGTAAGTCCACTTAGCTGAAGGTTCATGTTGAAGAAACATCATTCTTAAAAATTATTTGAAAAGTCGATTTACAAAAATATTACAACGCGGTAGAGTAATTTGTTTATTAAAAAACATTCCGATGAAATATTTGATTTACAAATATAAAGTTAGTTATTCTCTTGTTGCTGCAATTTGTTGGGACATCATTGGTTGTGTTTTAAATTTGTTTTCGCCCGCCATCTTCTACATCTACCTTGTCTGGTGTGTATCTCAAAATTTTCTGTATTTCAAAACTAACCTCTTTCAATGTGTTTTCTTTCAAAGACATCACTAAGGCTAAAAAAGCTTAGCTTGGTTAATATAAATTTAATTACTTATAATATATTGAAATGTATTTATTTAAAAAAATAATATTTTTAACATTGAAAGCAAATGCTTACAATAATTACTTATTCATTAGTATACTAACGTTTGGGATTTTAAAATTTTGGCCATGTTGCAAAGCAACAATATAAATAGGATTAGTGTTTTGTGTTAAACATACAAAAATGGAAAGAAATACAAGTCTCTGTTAGAAAATAAAATTGATATAACAAAAAGACAACACAAAATCATCCTTTTTTAGATTGCAAAGTTAA